TTGAAATTATTATTTTACTAAAATCTTGTAGCAATGTTTTCAGAAGTAGAAACTGGTTAATTTTACCAGACTTGCCAAAATATGTAAGTATTTATTCTACAACAAGCTTGAACAAAACCGAAAATTAAATTATAATCAAAGATAACGATATTTAGCCTATAGATAGGTATAACTGGATTTTACTAGAGTTGAATTTATATTCTGAGGAAACTCATATTATTATTTAGTGCATTATCTCCATACGCTCCAATAAATCCTTTCTTTAAAAAAACATTTTTACCTTTATTTAATTTCACACTTCCTAGTTTGTACGTCTCAACTCATCAATTCTGCCAGAACACCGATATTACAAGGGTTTTTTTGTGAATTTTGAGCTATCTATCCCGATTTTCGGTTTGAAGTGACTTCACTTTGATAATTGCCTTCCATTTATCAAACCCTTCCATTTGATATCGATGTGATAGAGGTTACTTCGAAAATAATAAATTGTTATTTCATGAGGTTCGCCATATTGGATTTTAATTGATGATTATAATAACGAGTGAGGACAATCCCCTGTGGTAATATATTCATAATAATAGTAATGCACTTTTATGATATTGGCAAAACACCGGAGATATTAAATCATTTTTGAGGAACTATTTACCCTACGCCCTGATAATTATAATAATGATAATGATCCGCGACCACGGGAGAGTAGGAATTGGAACATTTCGCTTTAGGGCAGCTGCCTGAGCAGCTGATAAACGCGGATTAGTTTTCGACACAGAACAAGGTGATCCCAACTCTTTCACAGAGTTGGAACCCGTTCAGCAAAAGCTCCATATAAAAGCCGCAGAGATCACTTCACTCCTGCGGTAACACAAAGATAAGCCAATGCATGGACTTCTTCAACAACATTGAAGACTTTGGCTCATCAAAGCGTCTGACCTTCGCTTTTCTCAGGTCGAGTGGGCTGAAGTGGGAAACTGAGGCGTTCGTCATGGCCTGCCAGAATGGTGTCTTCAAAACGCAGTCGCGTGATGAGTATAGAGGTTTCTGACACAAGGTGTAGGGCTTGCTGCGAGACGTCTGAGACGCACTTGCTGTCAGCATGACCAGTATATGCGGTCTCAGCCTGTATCCATCGACATAACGTGACTCTAAGAGTGCGTTATTACCACATACGGCACTTTTACGGTATTGACGAGACACCGGTGTTGCGGATTGTACGTTGGTTGATAACGCTGGCGCGCCCTCTAGCATGTATCGAAGCTAAATACTCTCAGGTGAAAAAATAATAATAATGTATATTAGAAAACTCAAAATGCAAAGTGCAATAGACTATACTCTTGACTACTGAATATACACTTAACTAGTCATGTACAAAATCACAAGTAATATACGAATATAATACTTGTCTGTACAAGTATAGTACTTGTCTGTAACATTGTAGGTAAATGAAGAAAAGAGAATTGGAACTTTCTATGTTTTTTACCACTTTCATTTGTAACTAACGTTACTGCAGTTTCGTCCTATAAGGACATTTTCAAACTTATACATTGAACTAAAAATGATTGATTACATTAGCCCTTATATAACATCACTGTAGGTAATAATAAAGGTACTTAGTTTAATTGAGTACATGAATTTTGTTTACTTGTGACAATTAGCAATATGCTAATTTGAAAACCGGTGACAAAACTAGATCGATTTGATCATTTAAGAGGTTGCATTCGAAATGTTTATGCTCATGAATTTCCAACGATTCCAAATAACTGAGTTTGCAACCCTTCCTTGCATAGTGCAAAATTTCCGTATCGTTTAGATTCGGGAACTTGTGGTTGCATGCCAAGGAATGATTTGAAAACGTCGAATCATTTTTACCTAGTCTGAAGGACCTTTCATGTTTATGAGCATAAACATTGAGGGTGCAACCTGTCAAATAATGAAATATCCACATTGTCACAAGTAAAAAAAATTCAAGTACTCAATTAAGCTAAGTATCTCTATTTTTACCTACACTGGTGTTATATAAGGGCTAAGGTAATCAATCATTTTTAGTTTATTGTATACGTTTGAAAATGTACTTATAGGACGAAACTGCAGTTACGTTTGTTACAAATAAAAGTGATGAAAAACAGAAAGTTTCAATTCTATTTTCTTCATTATGATTTCCTACCACGAACACTTTTTCATGTGAATAGATTCAACCAATGTACATTGTATTCAACTTCAGGAAATAATACCTTGAATAAAAAAATAAAAATCGAAATATTGTCTATATAAATGAATTCATTCATCAGTTTGACCAAATAATCTTCAATATCCAATTTACATGTAGTGATTTTTGAAATCAATATATTTATGAATTATGATTCGTGGTAGGGGTAATATCAAATTTTTGTTACGTTTAGTGTGTTCAGCATATTGAGTTCAAATGATGAATCGTTGTATGTTTGTGGATCGATGTATGTGTATCATCGTTGTGCTAACGTCGTGTTTACTTTTGCCATGTACGAGTAAAAGTACCCACCTCCTGACGGCATTTGATTGATCGTGCATTGCCACGAGAACCAATCATGTATATTAAATTTCAGGTCAAACGGTAGAGGTTTATATTGATAAATTCAAATGAATTAGCGCTTTCAATATATACCAATTATAAATGAAAGTATTGGACAAAAATTGTGTTTGTTCAATAGGTCGAAATCGAAGAATAGTTCAGCAGAAACAAAAAAATTCAGAAAAGTATTATCTGTGGGATGTTATGTTGTATGTAGAAAAAATCTCATTCGAAAAGTGAGACATTTTCTGTAACATTGAAAATAGAATGCACCGTGTATTGAAAAAAGTTGGCTGGGTTATAATTATTTTCTGTCATGAAATAGTCCCCAAAATGATTTTTGGGGTATCCAATAATTTTCAAGGGATGATATATTCAGTATTCAATTTAGGATATGGAGGTGGACATGATTTTGGAGGAGGTGGATCTTATGGGGGTGGATATTATGGAGGATATGGTATAGGAGGGGGTAAGTAATTCTGGTCAGAGACCGGAAGTTCCATTCGAATTAAACGTTCACTGAAGAGGTCCTTGAGACCAGATGCATGAATCATCAGTTGAGATTGTCGTTTTCAAAAAGAAAATGGCATTTTAAATATATGCTTCAACGACATGTGATCTCATTCACTTTTTTTCAAATCTTGTTTCACTAATATATACCTAATCGAAAAAGTGGTCGCTGAATAATGATCGAGTCAATGGAAATATAAAGTACAACGTCAAAAATATCAATAATAATAGAATCTCTATCAAGTCTCATTACAAAAATCGTTAGGAAAAACTTGTGTATATATCCTGAGTTCTTATTGTATACAATTCGTTAATAACTTTATTTCACCAATTTTTTCAATTCATTTGATTTTTTTAGAAATTAATTGTTCTTTTCTGGACCATTTTGAATATATGTGAAACCAACTTGCCCAGTTCTATTCTAGTGACGTATCAAAAGCTCATGAATCCTAACGTTACTTTTCTCTTATCACCATAAATAACACATATTTCAAAATGTGTGATGTTGACAGTTGAAGATGATTAGTTCTACCGTGCATATTTTATGAATACTTCTTTCTTCGATTCAGGTGGTGGAGGAGACTATGGTGGTCATGAGCACCACAAAACCATCACTGTAGTCAAAAAAGTACCCGTACCATACCCAGTTACTAAAGAAGTACCTTATCCAGTGGAGAAGAATGTCCCAGTACCCGTAAAGGTGCCTTATCCCCAGCCGTACCCAGTAGAGAAAAAGGTATCTATATTTCTTATACTGGGTGAAAGTAACTCAGTTAGTTAATAGTAATAGGTGATTATAAGCATTCATTATTACTTGGGACAATAAACCGAATTGAATTGAATTGTATGTGACAACTCAATATCAATTTAGTCATTTTGAATATTAATTTTCTCTGGCGTGAAATAATTTTAAACCCGCACCATAACAAAAACACCGTCTTTCGACTCGCGTTTCAATAAATTAGTTAACATCTTGGGGAGGAGACAGTTTCTCCAGTTTTGATGTGTGGTGAAAGTGTTTTCATTAGATTGAATCAGCTGATAATTTCTACTGTAGAGTGTAAAATTGTATAACTATGGAACTCAAAGGTTTTCCAGAGCATGATAAGGAAAAAGATGTAAATAACAAGGACAGTCATAGTTTGTCAGTGGCAGATTGTTTGAATTATTGAGCACACTCGTAAATTGAGGCATACAACAATATGCCATCAATAGTGAAGATATTCAGGATCTTTTATATCCATGCCATTATTTTCGAAAAATATTTGAATTTTTAATAATTGCAAAATATTCAAATGAATCCCGGAAACAAAGTAATTTTTCATCAGTATTCATTATATTCATTACCTTTCTTACTGCAATATCCTCATTTTAATGCTCAGGAAGCTACAATAATTCTTTGAACAAAATCCCTCATTCTCATTTATTCATGAAAAATAATCTCTATTAACTGACTGATATTTTGATCCAACAAAATGTTCAAAATCCACTCCAACATATCTTTAGGAGTAATCGTTTTTATTCTGTAACGAAATTTTAGAATATTTCCAAACGTATAGTTATATACAATTACCTTTCAATATTGTTTTAGAACTGCATTTATTATTATAACATCTTTTTGAGAAAACATATTCCTTTTCGTTCTGTGAACCCCAGGTTATCTATCTATTTTATTTTCTTGCCTTTTGGCAGTCTTCGACTCGCCCAATTGGGTGTACTGAAAAGTTCGTAAGCTAAAACACAGATGGCACTACTAGTATTCAATCCATATGATTTTTAGTTAACCCTAAACTTCAAAGGACACGTGTACGAATTTCACAGCTATCGGAATATTACTTTGTGGGAGAGAACATTTTGAGTGTAGCAACTTTTGTTAGTTAGGAAAAAATAAAATAATGAAAAAGGAATTTCATGTGTTTATGAAGTTTATAAAACAAGGTAAAATTAACCGTTGAGAAGTGGTATGCTAAGTTTAAACAAGTTGAAATGAGTACCGAAGACGATGTACGCAGCGAACTCCCCAAAGAGGCTGTTACAGGCGAAAACATCTAAAAAGTCCACAAATAATTATCAATTACCCCAAAATGGAGTTGATCAAGATAGCTGAGGCTCTAAACATATTAAAGGAACGTGTTGGACATATTGTGCATGAATATTTGGGTATGCGAAAGTTCTTTTCCAAGTGGGTGCTGCGCAAGCTCATAATCATCCAAAAGCAACAACAAATTGATTATTTTGAGCAGTGTTTGAAGCCGTTCCACCATAAAAAGCCCTAATTTATGCGTCGATGAGCGACCATGGTTGAAACATGGCTTCATTATCTCACACCGGAATCAAAACGATCGTCATCTGAGTGAACTGCACGTGGTGAATCGAGTCCAAAGCATTCAAAGACGCAATAGTTGGTTGGCAAGGTTATGGTATCAGTATTTTAGGGTGCTCATGGTATGATATTCATCGACCATCTTGAAAAGGGAAAAACCATCAACAGCGACTATAACATAGCGAAAGAAGAAATCGCGGAAAAATAGCTCTATTTGAAGAAAGAGAACGTGATGTTTCGTCAAGACAATACACCGTGTCCTAAATTCATAAAAACGATGGCAAATTTGCATGAATTGGGCTTCGAAATGCTTCCGAATCCAGATTCGGAAGCATTTCGGTCTAGATTTCGCCCCCAAGGACTTTTTCCTGTTCGTAGACCTCAAGAGAATGCTCGCTAACACCTATTTCGAAGGTAAATGGTATCAAAAATTGTACGACCGCAATAATACTTGTATCCCCCTTAAAAGCAACTATATTGAATTGTCCGTGAATTTTCCTGTCATATTTTTGTAAACAATTCTACAGAGAATGCATCATATCCTTTAAAGAATATTATCAAATTATTACCAAAATTTTATGATTCTCTTGTGTATGCATGAATAGAATAATTTGAACACTGATAATTCTGTCACAGGTACCCGTGCACGTTAAAGTACCAGTGAAAGTACCAGTACCCGTCCACAAGCCTGTACCAGTGGAGAAAACCGTACCCTACCCCGTCAAAGTACCAGTAGACAAACCATATGCAGTGAAAGTTTTAGTACCACAGCCTTACCCTGTCGAGAAAACAGTGCACGTCCCCTACAAAGTTCTAGTACCACAACCTTACCCCGTGGAAAAAGAGATCCCATATCCTGTCAAAGTACCAGTACATATACCCAAGCCATACCCAGTCGAAAAGATCGTTCCATACCCCGTAAAAGTTCACGTTGACAGGCCCTATCCAGTGCATGTGCCAAAACCTTACCCCGTTCATGTGGAAAAGAAAATCCCTTACCCCGTGTTCAAACCAGTACCAGTACCGGTGAAGGTACCCGTAGATAGGCCTGTGCCTTACCCAGTTGAGAAGCCACAACCTTACCCTGTGAAAGTACCGGTACCAGCGCCATACCCAGTGGAGAAGAAGATCCCAGTACCAGTAGAGAAACCAGTGCCGTACCCTGTGAAAATCCCCATCTTCAACCCAGTACCCTACCCAGTGGTGAAGAAAGTACCACACATTGTAGAGAAACCTGTACCAGTACCCGTGAAGGTTCCTGTACCAGTACCAGTGAAAGAAGAACATCACGATGGTGGAGAATATGGAGGTGGTTCAGAAGGTGGTTATGGAGGTGGTTCAGACGGTGGTTATGGAGGACACGACTTCGGTGGTGGTGACTATGGAGGTGGAGATTTCGGAGGTGGACATGGAATATCTGGGGGTGGTGGTGATCTCGGGGGTCATGAATATCACTGAAGTTAACTAATGAATTGTTTTCTTTGTCAGTATTACCTTTTTCATATTTATCAAAAACAAATCTTCATATATTGATAGTTCTTCCACCTTGTCATTTTTTATTTTTCTAAAATGTGTAGGGCTCTACAAGCTCTGAAAATATTATGGTTTAACCATAAAAACTACATGAACCAATGAAAAGACCGCTGAACATGGTCATAAAATCTATTTTCAATTTGGAATATAGGAAAACTATCGAATTTCACAAAAACTTTTCTGAATTTTAATTATTTTGCACCTTATTGAGTTGTGATGGTTTTAAATGAACGATAACTTATCAAACAGTTCAAAGAATGTATGTTCCTTGACTCCATTTGGATACCCAATCATCCACAATCCACAATGAATATGGATCAAAAAAAATCTGCTCAACACCCAATTTATCTATATTTATTCATTCTCCAGATTGAGGAAGGTTAGGAAACCCAAAAAACATCAATATTCTAAATATACGAGTATTTGTCATTAAAAATGTCCCTATCGTTATTGATATTTATATTGATATCATATAACTATGATTTCTGTTACGATTATTTTTCTTTTTTCTAATTTTTCTGATAAGTTTTTTATTGAGAGTTGTCATATTTCATATTTTCCATAATTTCTTTGGTTCACTTCAGTATTTTTTATCACAGATCTGAATGCCCGGTGATACGAAACGATAGGAATTCAATAAGATAACCGCACGCGCTAAAATCATTTGTTCGAATTCAGTGACGTCAAAAGGCTCTATAGAGTAGTTCAGCAAACATGTTGCCAAATATATTTCCTAGTGTGCACTCATACATTCAGGGGCTTCCTGAATATTCCGTTAATTGTATCCGCCACTAGCTTGGCAACACTAGGTAGGTAATCTAATGTTGAACAGTCATCATACCTGTTTTTGTGTACGTTTCAATTCTGAGTTATCGAATATTGGAAAACTGTAAGTCGTGTATAATTCTGCTGTTTCTGTGAAAATATTCTTTGGAGAAATGATGTTTGATTTCTCACGTAATCTGAAAGAATTTTCAATGTAGACCATTTCAATGTAGGTGGATTTTGTGATAATTCTGTCACAAGTAGTTCATTACTACTTTTTATTCCGAATATGATAACACGCTTTTCAAACAGTAGTTTTTGAACTTTCCCAAGTACGATTCAACCTAAAAATATGAATTGGTTACGGCAAATAACGACTTGGCGTGCAAGACACAGATTTGTGACGTCAACCAACCTGAAACTCCAAATTTGAAAGAATGAGATTGAACTTCAAGTAAGAATTTCTCGGTATATGAACTTCAGTCTATTTGTTATTTGGGATTTCAAAAAAACAGTTGATTGATTTCAAATTCAAATTTTGAAGTTGCTTTACTGATCCGAGAAAGAGAATAGTGGTTCCTGAAACGTTATTAAAAAAAATATGTAGAGTGTATTTCATTTGTTCAACAGATCAGCTGGTTTAACAGTTGGTTAACTGTTGAATTTAGCTTTGTTGACTCTAGTCTTTAGTTTTTTCAAGATTTTATCGGTTTGAAGAAAACAATCATTTGAATATCTTCTCAGCATTGTTTGGTGAAATTCAAATGTAACTGGCAACGTTATTGTTTCATATTTCATTGTCTGAGTATCAGGTTCTTGTAAGATAATGCCAGATCCAGAAGATATGCTTACCAGCACCGCACCGTTAAAACCTCATGTTACGAGATGTTTTTGTCACAAGAATTTTTTGTCCTGTGCCCTTTTTACTCAAACCTCACTGCTGAAATATAGGCTGAAATAATTGTAGCCGATAAATTATGACGGGTACCCTTTTCCACTTATTTGCGAGTGAACTGTCAATTTTCCAATCAATAAACTTATGTTTCCAGGCGGCTATACACTAATAACTCAAAAATCAAGTATTTCAACGGAAAAATAATTTACAGTATTATAGCACATAAAAAAGGAAAAGAATGTTGTGCATGTACGTAGACCAGATGAAAACGGCGTGATAGCTTGATGAAGAAAGATGTTTCTCATTTGTTGAAGGTTAAAGATGAAAGTTTCAATGTGGAGTATTCAAAAAACAATAAATTTTTCGTAAGTACATATTTGAATATAAATATCAAATATATTTGTACAGAAGAAACTTTCCCTCAGTTATATCAGAGATGCGATTTTGTTTCATCCTTTTCATAAAGGAGAACTCACAAGCGATTTTGGTGAAATTAGTGACACGTGTGAATCGTTGTATTTGTGCCACGTGCCAGTATACGGGTGTCTGCAGTATGCTGTATAATGCCCTCTGTAAGTAGTCCCACTGTGATTTAAAAGTGCATATAGATTATAACAACAAGTAGCCACATTTTCTGTTGCCAAATTGTTCATATCCAATCTTTCTAGAGGAAATTCTATGACAACATTCAATTTTACTCTAAATATTTCCGTTGGTGAAAATATTTTTGAATGAATTACTGAAATATGGGGAAACTTATGGATTGATAGGTACTTTGTGCATTTTCTCCTTTCCTTGAATTTCGAACACGTCGGTTTTTCATTTCCATCCAAAGTTTTTTCTCTTGTGAACGAATCCAAGCATTGCCGAAAACGCATTTGGTCGGTTCCCAGAAAGAATCAAAGGTTACTGATGAGTGTCCGCAGTGTGTGCATTTCATCGTGGATTTCGATTGACCAACGAAATTATCTACAATCTTAGAGTTATGCATTCTCAAATATGTGAGCTATGACTCTTGTGCATTTCCGCTGTCACTCAATTTTTCGTCAGTCTCCGTCAAGATTGGTTTAGGGTTCTTATTAAGTATATTAACGTCTTCATATAAACCTTCTAAAAGATAACGAAGAAACTCCTGGGCGTCTTCATGGGAATTACCTATGAATCGAGGAGCAAAACATTGAATCTGATTTTTTAAGGAGACTGTTTTTACTACTCTATCAAATGAATCTTCTGACCACAACTCTGATGACTTCTGCAAACGCTTTGATTAAAGCACCCTCCATATTAGAAAGACTAGTATTGACATCTTTCATGAATTCATCGATTTTGTATTTGCTTGTATATCATTCATTTGGAACAATCGTGGAACAACTTTCAGTGGAGTTTATTAATGTTTCTCTCTCTTCTTGAAAGCTTTTTGTTACTAGTATAGAGGTGTTTTTTCCAACTACAATCTATGTTCTATATTCATTAGCATTTGCTTTCTTAGCTCTTGTATCTCAGATTCAAGTTGTTCCAAAATGCACTACAGCTGAATCCAATATTCATTCGAGAAAATCGTCTTGCGAAATTCATTCCATACGGACGTCGTTTTCAAAAAATTAAATAATTTCTTTCCTGTTCTTTCCAGTCAGAAATCCTACTGTTGAGCGTAGGTTTTTCCTGGTCATTGTCAGATATTTCTTCGACGAGAGATTCCCAGGGTCGCCCTTGGCAAGACTGCATTTTTTGATTCCATCACTTCTCTTTAGGGATTGAGCATGGTTGTGACGTTTGGCTAGTTCTGCAATTGTCTAAGTCATCAGGCCGTAGGTGTCACTGGGCCCTAAAATTTTTAGTGCAGCCGCTTCTTTGACTAAAGCGTTAGCAATGCGATTACCTCCACTCCTGTCTTGCCTTCTACCCCACCTCAGGATAATGTTATCATCTACCGAGGATTTGGCTAAATCTTGGTAGCACTCTAGTACTAGCCCTGAGGTAACATGTTGTCTGTTCAAGGCTAATATAGCTTGTCTACTATCAGTGCAGATTGTTATGTTTCTGCCAGAAATTTCTTTCCTGATTATTTCTTTTGTGGCGATTGAGATACCAGCCAGTTCTGTTCGAACCACGCTGATATTTTCTCCCATTACCCACTCAATCCTTAGGCTTGATGATCTGGAGTAAACACCACACCCTGACCCTTCTTTGGTTTTCGAGCCGTCTGTATGTATGCGTATTGCATTTGTAGCATCTGACTTTGTGTTCTGATTCATTTGTATTTTATAGCGATTCCATTGCATCACTGTCTGCCTGCAGCAGAGGTTACGCAGTAAGCGAATCTCGCCATAGGCTTAGCCTCAATTGACCCATTCCTACTTCGAGGTTTACACCAGCCGTGCGCAATCATAACATGGCCAATAACGCAATCTCATCAACGTACATGTCCAGAGGGGTCAGACCAGTAATTAATTCCATTGCCGCGGTTGGTCTTTTTCTCATGGTTCATGTGATGTTTAAACAAGCCAATTGCTGTATTTAATATAATTTTTGGATGGCCATTGCTTGTAGAACTTTCGGTCCTCATGCAATGGCTTCATACGTTAACATAGGTGTATATCCAGGTGACTATAAGGAGTGAAAGACCCCATGTGCGTCCCACTGTCCTCCGATATTGCTCATAAGTAACATATGCTCTTTTTGCCCTACTCTGTAGGTGAGAGTTCCATGTTAGCTTCCTGCTAGGGTATTTCACCTCTTCAAAGGAAATTAGTTTGCTTTCGGGAGGTTTAAAGCCCCATAAACTTTTTTTCCTGGTGAAAAGGACCATCTCAATCTTCTTAGAATTGATCGACAGTGAGTGTTCCTTACAACATGTTTCTATTAATTTGAGCCCATCCTGCGCTCTATCGCACAGTGTGTTCACAAATTTGCCGGTCTGCAAGGTAACTTTGTCATCTGCATATGCAATTGTGTAGAATCCATTATTGTTGAGGTGATTAATCAGGGTATCCAGAACTATGTTCCGAAGAAAGAGTGATGAGACCCCTCCCTGTGGACATTCCCTCATGACCAGTCCTCTCATCATATTTGTGTCAACATTATTTGAAACCCTCTTGCATAATGTATATGAAGCTATATAGTTTGAAGAGGTTACCGAACAGATTCATTAGATTCATACACTCCGAAGTTACCATTAACAATTGATCAAAAAGTATAACAAGATATACTGGAAACCTTGTTAACGTACAGAATATGATATTCAGGCTGATATAGAGAACATATTACCATTGTCTTTAATCCGTTGTACCCCAAATTTGAATAAATAAAATGGAATGATTGAATGTCTACTCTGACAATGTATATCCTAGTTTTGGAAGATGCTTCAATGCCCTCCCAACTCGATAAACTCGACCTCAGGAAACTGACAAACAATAACTCTACAATATTTGAATATGGTTAGTTACCTCAGCAACCACCAATGACAATTGTACTCCTCCTTGACGATGTTTCCTTTGAACACATCGTATCTCCACTTGTCCATTACGTAGGCAAACGGCAGAAAAACAACCTTATCAAGGGCCATGGAATACAAGAAATTTATATCTACTGATGGGCGGTCGATAGAGGCTTGAACTAGTCCCAACGCTTGTAGATGTTTTGGAGTGCCGACAGAGAGAGCTATTGCTTCACCAATGGCTTCATGGAATGCTGAAAAATATTAAGAAATATAAAAGTTGTAGTATAATTGAATATTTGAAAATGAGACGAATGGGCTTCAGCTTTCCATTCATCTTTCCACATTTATTTGATATATTATTTTTTTCAGTGTAATATAATAATAATAATAATAGCTTTATTGTGCATAAATTACACACAAAAGGTAGGGGTTAGCCTATGGCTATCTTCCACCCCTCCTGCTAAGTTATACAAATAACATTTATGAGCAATAATTCAATTGAGTGGCGGGGGATCACTGTCTCTCTCTTATGGGTGTTTGACAGTCCCCCGGTGCAGACTACACGGCACTCACCCAGTAAAGTTATCGGTCAACTACCCTATCCCGCATTTGCGGGCAACAGGCGTTGGCCGATTTCAAGCTAGATGTGTGGGAGAGGTGCCTCGCAAGAGCCCTCGGCGGTTACTCATCCAACGCTGGAAAGGTAGCTTTCCTAACATGAGTGCCCCTTGGGGTAACGTAAGGGTATGCGGTGCAGACCACACGGCGTACACCCAAAAGTTGTTGATGAACCGCCCTATCCCGCACCTANGAGTAATGTGCTCTCTATAAGGTACACAGCAAACAAAACGCATACAAGAATTTTGAATGCGTTGCAACTTTTGTCGATTATATTCCGGTAGAAAATTATAATACACTGGAGCGCAGTATTCTATATGTGGATAGATGAGGGATTTGACTAGTTTAAGTTTCATTTCGGTTGATAGTTGATATTTAAATTTTTGAAGTGATTTCAGTTTGAAGAACGCTATTTTAAATATATTTTGGACATGGTCATTGAAGTTCAAGTTTTGATCGATAATCAATCAGAGATTTTTCGTTGAGTCAACCCATTAAATGTCCGTTTGATTCATTATGCAGAAAGGCAACAAACACAATTGTTATAATTTTCAGACTAATATTATCTAAGCCCAATGCCTGCGATTTCAGAGACTTCAGAGCATCCCAGACATGATCACTAGTTATTTCAGTAAATGAGAATTTCAAGTTACTTCCCAGAAGGTTATTATTATAGAATGGTAATAGTTCCGCATTTACGGGCGTATTACCGGCAACATTCAAAAAATAATTGTTAAGTATGCACCCCAGTCGCTGAGATAGCGCCACATGATCGGATATTTACGTGAGCAATTTTAATTTTATGTATTAGTGGTTTTTTGATCGAGTGCCTATAGTAGGATTTCCATTTATGTATTCGATTAAGATACCTTCTTCCCCACCTTCTTCCCGTTCCTTCAATTTCTCCAATACTTTCTTGAATTGTTCTCGTTGTAGTTGAATTCTATCGGTACTTATATGAACACCAAAACTCATTGATTTGAGTTTGTGTTTGGATTTCAGAATAGTCATGACGTCATCTTTCGAAGGTAGTTCGATTTTAATTGGTGTCGGTTAATAACAATTTTATCAAATGAATTCATGATAAATCAAACTGGATTCAATAAAAGCGTTACTCGGGTCATTCATATTTCAATTAACTGATACCCAAATGTAAATAGAAAATGATTGTGACATAGAAATACAATATTCGACTCGATTTATTTTTATAACCTTACAAAGCAGTAAAAATTTTCATTCGGAAGTCGTGTGACTCCTAATCTAGAAATTTTGAACTAAATTTTTCAATTTATGGAATGGAATAGAGAAAAAATGTTTAACCAATTAATATTTCTATTCTGAAGTTAGCATCTTACTAGAACTTCAAACTGTGCCACATTTACCGAAAAGAGCCAAGAGCTATAAAACCAAAACTGTCTTCTACAAATATTTTGGGTCTCATTTGATATTATTCTTCAATTTTCCTTATATCTCACTTCATCAATTCTAATATTTTTCGATGCAAAATTCCAACGATATTTTGTGTAATAAATATTTTTAACATATAGGATAGCAGAAATGATGTCATTTGTAGTCATTTTAACACTTCACATCGAAAAACAAGAAATAAACTCTCGAAATTTCTCCTATGTTGTTGACTACTGAAGATGTTTGAGCCACCAAAAAGGCGAATATTTTATTTCAGCTAAGCATTATCCATAATATCCAATGTGATTGATAATAAAGCAACCCATGGTCTATAATTAGTTGGAACATCATTCTTGCTCCACACAGACAACAACAATGAAACGAAATACAATAATTAATAAATAATAACTGTATATTTGTTTTGTGTAAAAAACAATGGGATGATAATAATCCACATTTAATTTATCTGTGGATATTATTAACTAATGCAATTTTTGAAATCGGTGTTTAAGTTGCGTTTCATATTTTCATATCTCTCATAATATCATTATAATCGAAAGTATCACCACAAGAACTCAAAGTTGTATCGGAAACTGCGTTATTTAGCAATACCGAGAGACTCCAGCAAAATGATCTATTGCTATTTGCTCGATTGGTACCCATTGCCAAAAAACATCAAAGTTTGAGTTTTAGAAAAATGTCTATTAGTCTGAGAAAATTTTAAGCTCGAGTAGTATTCGTAGAGATTATTTTCTGAAATATTTTCAGTTGAATGCATCAATATGAGAACAAAATATCAATTCTCAAGTTGTATTAATTTCATTACCTGAATAACAAGAAATTTCTACAAGACGATGTGTTTGATAGTACAGATATCAAAGACATAAGGTTCAAATATGTAAACAGAGTACGTTAATGACAAAACTTGTATTTTTCAACGATAGGATTTCATTGTTAAAATCTATCGTGCCTTGATATAAGACTGCATGGCCAGCACCAGAGTTATTCGACTTACTTGACACGGCTAAATGCATTTACTATACTCGTGGTTCCATTCGAATCCAAAATATCTTATACCATTATAGCAATTAGTTTATATTGATTCTTGGGAAATGTGACACGCTTGCTCTGTGAACATGGACATTTCAAATACGTGTTATGTAGGAAACTAGTTGAACGTGCTCTTACTGCTGATTTTTTTCATTCTCTCAATTTCTGATTATATTCGTTTGGATATACCGATTACATAAGTTTCAGTACTTTTAGGTAACAAAAGCAGTCGTTGGATTACTTACAATTGCTTCCCTAAGTTCAACTGGGTTCTGACATTATTGTACTTCAGACAACTAAGAAGTATATTCCCAAAGAATAACGGTATATGATAACGCACAGGTGGATGTTCACCTTTGAGCAAGTATGATGAGGTGAATTTACTTTATTCTCAGGCCAGATAATCTAACTTGGTCGAGGGGATAATTGAAATATTTTCACTTCCACTTCCTGTTTTTTCCATCATTGTCAGTTTTGAATTTCTACAACTGAAATCTTAAGGAAGAAATTGAATACTTCCGACCATAACGTGAGCTGCTGTGACAAAACTCTTCAGAATTGGATAAAGAAACTAGGATTTGAATTTAAAATAATAAACAAACGTCAAGCAGTTATGGAAAGTTGAAGAATAGTGAAATTGCCTAACAAATACTTTGAACAAATAACTAAATATAGACAAGAACAAAGGAAGGGTTCCGAATTCTTTGAAATAATATGGAAAAATCTTAAGAACTGCAATGTTGACTATCATAAGAACATGGAAGCTAATCCTTCGAGGAGTGGTTTGAAAACACATTGATCCCAAATTTGGATGCGAATAATGTAATTGTAATAGTTCTTGACAACGCTTCCTATCATTCGCGACTACTTGAACTATTACAAAAAAAACATTTGAAAAAGTTTATGCCCTTGAGAGTATTGCTGAGAAGCATCAGGCGTAAAAATGATTTTCCAAAATTTGATGAGAAGGTAATAGGGATAATTAAAGAAAGAGTATCTAATATTACCAAAGAAGACTGGCAGAAAAGGATTAAAAGAGTAATTTTAGTTGAAAAAGACTATATGGAGATTGGAAACTTCGATATTAATGGTGGAAATAAATTCGTTATTGATTTAAATGACGACAGTGATGGTGAAACAGGGAATATGAAATATTTCTACTCTCTGTTCATAGAGATAGAGAGAGAAATACTCTCAATATTTTGAAGGGATGATATATACAAGTTTAAAGTCTACATACAACTTCAGTTCCAGAAGCAAATCAAAAACAATTTTGAAAACAACATAATTTTTTTGAGTTTTCAGTATTACCTGGATTGGCACCATCTCTGAACACCTTAGGTTCATTTTTGTACTGCATGAAGTAATGAATATGTGCTAACTCGTGGTGGGCTGTAATTAGATCCTTCATATTCACGTTGGTACACATTTTTATCCTGAAAATAATAATTGGAACATTATTAAATAACGTAATTGAATGAAACAGGGCTTCAATTTGTCAAGCTTCAGGCCAAAATTTAACATTGTGTAGTGTGTAGTATGTAATAGTTCATGCATATAGCAAATGACAAAATGATGTGAAATTTGGCTTTTTGTTTTAAATAATCAGGGATAAGCACATGTAATTGGTTGTTGTACTGTTGAATTACGCCACCATTCACAGAATAAATGTTTAAGTTTGTCGCCCACTTGTCCGGCACAGTACAGCACGGCCCGTCCCGTCCCTTCAAAATACGTATAGGATTGAAACAATGAAAATGAATGGACAACCGCTTTCTAACCCATCACGGTACAGCCAAGAGCGTCCGCCGCCGAAAGGATTCCAGCTCTCCGATCCTGTCCGGCAAATAACGATACATGCTGTGACGGACTGGCCAAGTGAGCGCGTCGCCGGCTAGCGCTTGCCAGCATAAACTTGTTCAAACGTGCCCGGGAAGTTTCTGTCTCTTTGTTTTGCTATTCCATCAGTTGACAGCACGGTGTCAGATGGTACCTATGAAAATGGAGGAGGAAAAATTGAGTTGCTTGTTGAGGCAGGCTCTAGGATAACCAGAAGTTCTGAAAATTTGCCTGGAGTCATTCGGAAATACTGGAAACATTTCTCCTCGTCTTCTATCAGGTCGTTGAAGAGATGATGAAACTCTCCCAGATTTGCCTTCTTTTGATTATTGGGATGGACTCACATCCTTCTTTTTGATGACTATTTTCTTCTACATTCAATATTGCAGCCACTATAATGACGACTTCTTCGTCAAAACTGCTAGTGATAGACATGTTTCTGTCACTGCTCTATGTCAACTGAAATTCCGTTGAAATCGTATAAACAGCACCTTCAGTATGCTGGTTGTAGTTGGACAAGTGGGCGATGCTACTACCAGTCGCCCGGACAGCGCCGTGCTGTGATGGGACGGACAACTGGGCGACAAGCTTTAGAAGTTGCGACACAATATAACAAAGTCGCTTACTACTGTCTGTCCTTATGTATAGATGAAGTGATTCAAGAGGAAGGTGTTTTATATGTAAATAACATGTATAACTTAGCACAGAAACACTGATATAAGGTAAGATATAAGATAAGAGGTTTCTAATGTGATGCCGTAAATAAACACATTTTTTGCGCTTACATTGCAATCGCTGGCTGAACCCTACGAGATAGATAAAAAATTCCTCCTCATTTTGATGTATATCCAGGCAGATGGATTGGCAGAAGAGGACCTTATGAATGGCCACCTAGGTCTCCGGATTCAACACCTTTGGACTTTTTCTTATGGGGTTACTTGAAGAGCAAAGTTTTTAAAACCAAACCGGCAAATATTGAGGATTTAAAAGAAGGAATAAGACAGGAGTGTTGGCTAATTTCTGGCGAAGTAATCAGAAATGTTCAAAACGAGTTTCAGTTACGTTTAGGGTATTGTCAGTTAGTAAATGGACATTTTGAGCACTTGTTAACGAAAGACTATTGATTTTGAATTCATTTTTTGAATTAGATAATGTTTGTTAAATATCTTTCAAAGGACAAGGAGTAAAATAATGGAATTTGGCAGGCATGTGCAACTTGTTGAAGTCATTAGAAAAAAGGGTTGTCATTTAAAAAAAAAATATCGATGACGTTATATCTCATATTGGGGACACACTGTATAATTTTTGTTGCATTAAAATAAGGGCAGTTTAAAATACTAACCGACCTGTCCGAGCATATTTCCGAAAGAAACAACACCTTTGATTTAGTGAATTTGTTCCATGTTAGAGACTTGCACTGTATAATAATCATTTATATCTTTTTTGAATATCGAGATTGCGTCAAAAAATAAATCTGCTGTAACAAGATATTCACTGGCAATCCGACAAAGTCGATAAATAGGACTATTATGACTTAGATTTGACTAAGGTGTTGGAGAAACATAAAGAACGTATTATTTTTTTCAAATTAGGAGATAGCTTAGATAAAAATTGAATACAGTTAACTTTTCCATTGATCACCTTGTAAATGAAAATTCAACTGGCTATTCAGCATGTCCCCCTCGTAATGTTTTGAGGATTTTCCATTGTAGTTTTATTGGTTCATTTTCAAAAAATATCGCGTTCTAGGTCGGCATCACTAAGAAATCAATAATCGAAAAGTACATTTGTTAATAAGATATTCAATGGTTTACAGTATAAATGAAAAATATTAATTTATACCTACACTTTCAAACTCAAATACAGAACAAATTGTTTTTTTGAGAGTGATGATTGGCATCCTACCCAGAACAACATACTGTAATAAATACTGATTCAAAATACTACAATAAACACTATGGTAGAACGTTTTATCTGTTGAATAACAGATCAACTCGGACAACGATACAGGTATAAAGCTAGTCGACTACAAAGTCAGAATTCTGAGATACAAGTCAGGATTCGGACTTGTATCTCAGGGAATAATAATGATACATTCAGTATTATAAGGCAGTTTTTTGCATTTATCAAAATATGAAGATTATGAAATTTTTCTCATTGTTTGAATCGCTTCTTTCGATATAACTGGAGATACAATTGGGGTATCGCCAAAAACATATGCAGGCATTTCTTCTGCACTGACACCAATCGGATACAATCCCACGCCTTTCGTAGTATTAGCCAGGGGAATAGTTGTGTTCTGACGATCTCACTCCATTAAACTACTGTGTAGGTAAGTGAAGACTGGCGCACACAAGTCACTTACAAGTCAGAATTCTGAGATACAAGTCAGAATTCTGAAATACAAGTCAGAATTCTGACTTGCAAGTCAGAATTCTGAGATACAAGTCAGAATTTTGACTTGCAAGTCAGAATTCTCAGATACAAGTCAGAATTCTGACTTACAAGTCAGAATTCTGACTTGCAAGTCAGATACAAGTCAGAATTCTGAGATACAAGTCAGAATTCTGACTTGCAAGTCAGAATTCTGAGATACAAGTCAGAATTTTGACTTGCAAGTCAGAATTCTCAGATACAAGTCAGAATTCTGACTTACAAGTCAGAATTCTGAGATGAAAGTCAGAATTATACAAATCGAAAAAAATATTTTTGTGTGGCCCTTCAACGCTTTCGTAGAACACCATCAAAAGGTCTACAAAAAAGTCGCCGATGGTATCTATCTCTCAGAGATAATCCACAATAACCATTTTTCATCCTCGAGAAATGATGGCTTATTTACGAGTGAATTTAAGCAATACAGCAATAATCCTTATCCTTATATATCCTGCATTCAATATTGATCAATATGGCCCTTTACAGTAAGTAATTTAAATTAATATTTTCGACATAGCGGTGGCAGCGGTACCGGCCCAGATGCTAGCGGTGCGTGCCTATAAATAGCGCGTCGAAGGTCGTGTTCGCCCTTTAACACTTCATGATTAGCAGCCATCGCACGCGTTTAGATGGCCCACCGAGGCGGGTCGCTAGTGTCCTATAAAATTTGACACCAGGGCGCACCGTATTTCTAGTTAGCTATGACTTATGTATTATGAGTGACAACTGGTCAATAGTCGAAACTAAAACATTATTGCTTTTAAAAAAAAGTCTTGCTAGAGCAACACATTACGGTGTCAGGTATTGTAATGTTCGATTTACCGGCTGCAAATGACTAAAGGGTGAGTGTATTTACTGTACAGACTGAAATAAAATCGTTCATTTATTAATTTGAATGTGAAAATCCCGGAAGCAAGTTCATTTAATTAACTATAAGGTGACAGAAGTGGATAATAGTGTTCATTGTTTGTATTTGAAATTCTCTTTTTACCTGAAATCCCTCCTATTACAAAAATCCCAAGCAGACGGCTGGCATAATACGATTCTATCCAGGGGCTCTTGAAGGACAGATCCTTGCCAAAAATCGAGAGGTAGCACGCTCATGTTCAGGGATACAAAAAAGTCTTCCGCCAACCTGAATGCATCAACTGGGGTGAATCCCTAAAATATGAAATAAAATGTTTGAAGTGTTGAAGGAACAGAAAATTAGTTTCATAAATGAAAAACTCAGGAAACTGACAATAATTGTATACTCTCGAATTCGTATACTGAAGAAAATGAGAATTTTGAAAGATCTCTTTAGAATTTTTTAGAACGTTTGAGAAAATGTCAACATACTAACCTCGTTCAGGAAATCTGAATTCATTATGGGAAAATAGACAGCAGTAGACAGACTAGTTCCAATATGAAACAATTGAGAGTAAATCCTTCGTCAGATCGAGAACGAGTCAAAGATAGTTTAGCCACAGAACAACTTCTTAAGCTATTCTGATAAATGACCTTATCCAAAGGAGTTACACGTTTATGATTTTTCGAAGTTCAAAGTAACGTGTTAGGAATCACACGTTAAAAGGTAAGACTCCGTTAGTCCTTATCTCGCAGAAGTTTCTCAACTTCTGAGAGTTGTCGTTCGTATGGGGGCGACAGCTTTGAAAAGAACAGATATTTTGTTTAATTTATACTTCATTGGTTACTGTTGCTTTGAGATACAATTAACAATCCTCAAGTCAAACCTGAGCTTTGACCTGATTGATGCTTTATCAAACCAGATTTTACTTCGGAAGGTTTGTGGTTCTGATTAAGTAACGAACAAACGGTTTCAGATCTCAATATCATGCAACAAACCAAATTTCTTTGTGAGCTGTTCCATATGAAAATAAAACTTATAGACATTAACATGTTTTTTATTTCACCAGGGCACACCACAAATGTATTGTTGGACTTAACTATTTTCATGGCCAAGCTCATGAATAAGTGAGAATAGATATCTTCCCTCAAGAAGGGGTCATCTAAGGACTTGAAAGAAAATTCAACCTCCCTTATACAGGAAGAATATGGGTCTCCACTGATGAAACCTTTTGCAAGTTAAAACAATGAATTTGAATTAGTTATTTCTTGAGCTAACAACTCAGTTTTCGTACCAGATGAAAATAGTGATATAACTAACCCTTTCCTAAGATTAAAAAATTCCACTTCGGCTGAAGAAAGTGAGATATACCTGTTTTATCATCTCCGGCGTAACGTCCAGAAATGTCTGGCCAGGATAAGGTTGGGTAATATCAAAGATGTTGCTCCAAGACTGGCCCCACATATTCCCCAAAACATGAGCTGGCAACGGGGCCATTCTACTGATTCTTCCCGCTCCGTAAAATTCTCTCAAGCGACGACGAACGTAGGTGAGAAGAAGCTCGTATAAGGGCTTCACTTCTTCCCAGGCGTCCTCAAGGTCAACAGTTAGAGATGGAGATTCAAACGGGAAACTCCAGTACTCAGCAGTGTCTGTGAAGTCTGAAAAATAAATATCGTCATTGAGAACTTAGCTACTTACCTACAAATACAGTGTGTAGAAGCCAAAATTTCGGTTACGATACAATTTCCTGAAACACAGTGTTACCAATGTGTTCGAAATTTTCATCCAGAATAACTGTGCTTCCAATGATCTTGATCATTATTAATAGCTCTTTTCGCATTTTTTTCAAATACTATCTAGAAAATTCAACATGATAGCAATATACTTACTGTTCAGTTTTGCTGCATGGTTGGAAATCTTAACCATTTGTTCAAAGCTGTCTTTTATCTTCTGACCAGAATTTCTTCTCCATTCAGTCCAAACATGCTGGAGCTCATCCCAGTTCCTACTCTTAGCCATGATTTTAGTAATGTCGGGTTGCAGCCTTAATCCACACCGGAATGGATCATTGTGAGCGCAAATGGAGGCAGTATTATAGATGGCTAACATGTCGTTGATGAGTCTGTTATACTGAAATCATAAGGAACAATGAAGTCAGAGGTGAGTTTTCAAAAAAATAACAGCTTAAGTTTCGGCAAAATATACTCTAAAAACAATGATTGCTGTTGCCCTGCAACAGAACAATATACTTGTGTGGCTGTTGCCCTGCAATAGAACAATATACTTGTGTGAAGGATAACTCATTATGATCATTGAACGATCCAGCGTTAGAATGTAGGTGAGAAAGAGATGGAAGTTCGAATTTCCTCGCGATTGGTGCCTGAGAACAAGAATCCTGTGTGAATCCAGAAAGCTTCACCCCGGCCGTTTTCTGTAAAGCCTTTGGCCGCCAAGCAATTGTACCATAAGTGATCATTGGTCTGACAATCATCACATAAATCCAATGGATGTGTCTGGGACCTAAATCCCAAGTTTTATCATAAATCCTTCGACATGTACATAGGGACAGTAGCTTTGTGTACATTTTTTTCCAAGTGAGCATTCCAGATGGGTTTTTCATCGAGTACAATACCAAGATATTTCACCTTCGTTCCAAATGGAATGACCTCACCATTGAGGCAAAGTGGCCTTAAATCGTCTAAGTTTCTGCTTCTCGTGAAGGGGATTATCACAGCTGTACTGGGATTGACAGATATCTGCTCCCTCAGGCACCAACTGTGAACAACGTCCATCGTGCTTTGGGGGATATTACAAGATACCCTTTCCGACTTGGACATTGCCAAGAAGACAAGGATATCTGCATAAGCTTGAAAATCTACTTTTCTTCTGTCGAAAGCATCAAGCAGACTATCCATCACGAGCAACCACAGAAAGGAAGATAGTACCCCACCTTGAGGACAACCCCTGGTGACTCTGAACCTAATCGCCTCGCCTTAAAGAATCGTAGTTGCAGTTCTGTTTACCAACCTAGCATAGATACAGCCAGTTTCGCTTCATCGGTAGTAATGATTGGTACACACTGGACTAATTATTTAATTCCAACTTCAACCAACCTAAGCAACCCTCAGATATTTTGATTTGCTATAATATCTGACTTATTGGATAGAATACTGTGCACTGTGCGATACCTGTGTTTGTGAAGTGTCATCTTTTATTTTGATCTTGGTGTTGGGCTGGATACTGAAATGGTTCTGAACTTGTTCAGGTTGAAAATGAATAGCACCACCCTCGAGCTTCTGGACATAGTTTTTTCACATTCTCAATTATAACATTCGAAGAACATACAACTATAGTCTGCACTGTATTCATGAAAAAATAAAGGAAATAACTTGTTAAATTGCTCTAGAATGCGTCATTTTCGAAGACAACCAGTTTTTGTGAAGACTCTAGCCCTAGCCTAATCAGATGTAAAGGTGAAGTTATAGTTCAAAATGTCATCAGTGAAATTATTGATGATATTCAAAAGTATTTATTAATGTATAAGGATTTAAAAAAATGTTATTGACGATAATAACCACAATATAATCATTGATTTCATGGAGATGCATAAGTTCTATAATAAAATCTATAAAACAATCTGTGCAAAAGTAGCGATTCAAATTGAACTCAAATCGATGTATTTTGCTCCATATTTCTGACATATCGTTTTGGTAGAATCAAGCAGGCTGTATAGAATGGTTCCCAAGCTTCTTTCGATGTTTTAGGTGATGTTTCAATTTCCAATAAGGTAGATGACTTATTTCCTGGTGAGAATTCAACAGTCTAAGTTTCTGAAGAACTGACTCAACTATTCCAGTAACTGGATGGAGCCAAGATATATTGGTATTCAAATTGATACCCAATCAATTATCCGACGCGGTGCAATAGTGATCCTTACTTTGCCACTTCCACCTTCTTAGGAAAAAATGATGCCTGGGTTTTTGTAGAATGGAATTCTGTTTGGTCGAGTGACCTCAAGTCAAGTCAAGTGACCTCAAGTCAAATTATTTTTCAGATCTTTGAATATGAAATGTCGTCTTTTCGCCAAAGATATACACTGGTATTAGTCGATATCCTGGCATCCAAATGAAAAAAGAAACAAGTATGCTGTCGTCAGCAGAGAAAAAATTATTGGATTTGTGTTTTTTTCAATGGGGACAATATATTTATGTGAAATGCAAAAATCATGATATTATATAATTTCAAAAGATGACCTCATGAACTTTCATGTGAATCATACGTATATACTGACTTTATGATATTAAGATACAAAAATATGATTGAATTGACAAGGAAATTAGTAAATACTCACCCTGTCTAACTCTTCTGGAGGCAGAGCGGAAGGACCAATCACTGAGTAGTACCTTATTTGTCTGAATGTCTGTGGATCAAGACTGTTTATGTTTTCGACATTATTGAGCAGTTTCCAGACTCCATGTTGGAACTCCGAATAGTACTGTTGAGCATTTATCTGGAAAGCGAAAACAACTTTTTATGAAATGTTATTGAGCTATTAAAGTATAGTCATTCAAAGTATCTTCAAGTGCTCTTCAAATACTCTGCTGTATTCATAGTGAAGTGTATTGGAATTACTAATGAATAACTCGGGGCATGCCGCTAATTTATTTTTTTAATAAAACACAAGCACTACATGAAAAATCCTAAAAATCCTTAAAGCGCTCTAAGAGCGGTGCCTGTGCAAAGGTAGTCATTCCCATTGGATTTGAATCGCTGGAGATTAAATCCATTTGGAAAATCTTTCTCAGGAAGTTTATTCCATTTCAACGCAGTACTCCAAACGAAATAGTTCTCAAACAATGAACTTCGAGGTGTACTGAGTTAAACCTCAATTCAAATACATTCATGAACCTCTAATATTTGACACTACAACCATTGAAAAAAACTTTGTACTTGGCATTGGAATTGATAGTAACCTAAAATTTCAGATCCACATCCAAAGTCTCAAAAGGAACTTGGCATCGAGCTTCTTTTCAGTGAGAGTTGTGTCTGAGGAACTAGGTCTGCCAATGAGTAAGGCGACATATTTTTCTCTAATCGAATCACACCTGCAATATGGCATTGCATTTTGGGGTTATTGCAGCAAGCAATTGTTCGATTCTGTTTTCGTCCTGCAGAAACGAGCAATTAGATTCATGTCCAGAGCTAAATGCACCGATCATTGTAAACCGTTATACATAAAACACAGAATTTTGACTTTAACTTCAATTTTTATACTTGAAACTCTATGTTTGGAGCATAAGCACAAGTCCAACGTCTCCGATACTGAGGGCACTCAAATAAGCCATAATAGTCGTCAAATAACGAGAAAAAACTTACCTCTCCCCATCCCCCACTTAGAATTAACGAAAAAAGCAATAATGTATGATAGTAAAAAGATATATAACAATTTGCCACCCTGTTTGAGAGAAATCTCCATACATCATAATTTTCGAAAAACAGTCAAAAAAATAATTTTGCTCAAATATACTCTACAGGAGTTTTACGATGATGCTCACTTTCTTGTATTGCGATAAAATTTTGCCTTCGTCAACTCATTTTATGTACTATTTAAAAATTTAATTATACATATATTCAGTTTAGACTAAAAGCTATGTAAATATTTTTTTACGATGATGCTCACTTTTTGTGTTGTGAAAATTTTTTGTATTTGTCGACTTGTGATACGTGGTATATTTGTCAAATTTAATAATGTACTGACTTTAGAATATAAAAAGCTTTGTCAACAAGAATATCTTTTCTTGGACATTAAAGTATATCGATTGATTGATGAGCAGTCACAGTCCGTCGCGTATTTTTGATATGTATCGCTCTTCCTGGAATCAAATGTGTCAAGTTACTTGAACACCTACCGTGAAAGTATCTATAAAAAAAAGACAAATCTCGAACCTTTCTTCAATGTTCCAAACTATCAGGGTTGCAAGTGATGTTCGTGTCTCCAATCAGGCGAATGGCTCTTTTCTGGATAGAATCCAGCAGCTTCAGGGTATTCCATACATGTGAACAATCTCCAAAGAAGGTATGATATGCATCAAAAGTTACTGAGGTTTGTACAGTTTTCTGGTTCGGATCAGTGTTCCAAGCTTTTGAGAAGAAGCCTTTGCAATTCCAGAGACATGATTGTGCTACGACATATTGGTGACCATTTTACCAAGCGGAAATGTCTGGTATGTAGACATTTATCTTTTTTGGAGAAAACCGATGCTTGGATTATCGGGGCATTGGATTGAACCTGGTTTCTTTCACCCCAATTCGAAATCACCTCTACATCCTCATTAAGATATGCAACCTCCTGCTGTCAGTGTATATGTGCATCCGCAGACGATGAGCTAGAATCCAAATGGAATGACGGGACAAGTGTGGTGTCGTCAACAAAGCAATATATTGGATTCTTCGTTTTTTCCACTAAGTCGTATAATACAATAAAAGGTAGCTGGAGATAATACTGGGGAACACCAGTGTTGACGGTGAAAGTGATCGATAAATATTCATCGACGGCCACTTGCAAGGAACATTCTTTCAAGAAGCTGGAGAGCCAAAAGTGATCCGAAAAGCCATAGCATCGAAGTTTGGCCAGCAAACTCTCATGCCACGGTCAAAGGCCTCAGAAATATTACGCGCAACAGCCCTTGACACTCCATGTTTCTCGATTGCGTTATTCCAAGAATGGGTACCACGTACCAAGGTGGATGATAATCAAGGGTTAACAAGCAGGCCAGTTTTTTTATTTCTGTGTGTGAGATAATGACTTGAGCGTTCTCAAGTACAAAGGTACTTTTTATGAATCTATAAAGTATAATATCCGACAAACATTTTGGTTTTGGTCAGGTTGAAGCCCTAACCTTTTCAACTTGTGTTTGTCAGACGAACAAACGGGTCATAACTGATCATGGGATGGCGGCATGAATTCCTTCAGACATCAGTACTGCCCTTCACGGTATACCCCTACCTGGCTGGGGTGAGATGGATGAAAGAAATTGTTCATCTGTTAATGGAGGAAATGAGGGCCTTATTCAACAGAGTGTCGGGGGCCTTCTATATCGAGAGGGGTCTTCTACACTCTAGAGCATAGTCTATAGCTTCCCTAACTAACATAAGTCTGATATCTGCTTGAAAAGATGGTCGGTTGGCGAGAGGTTGGAGGAGTATTATAGTGAGTCAGGCAGACGGGTAAAGACGATTGTGGTTACTAACAATCGAAACATCGTGAAGTAACTTTGTTTGAAATCTTTATTAATTTCTCAATTTAAATTTTTTGCGTATTTTTATTTTTTATTATTTTTATTTATTTTTCTTGTGGTCATTTTCATTTGTTATCTCGATTATTTTTTTTTGTTTCATTTTCAATTAACGTTTTATTGCTCAGTATAATTGATATTTCAGATCTTCATTGTAATTTTATTTGGTCGTTCATAGATTTAGAATCATAATAAAATCATATTAGTCCAAAATAGTAAAATTCATCATGAAACATTGTCACTTTCAAACATAAGAGCTTTTTATACACAAATATAAAATTCTTGTGAGTGCGGAGAATCATACATCGGTGACCGATTTAGCTTCTGGTCAAATGACACAAAGTTTCAGTATTCTTGCATGGTTGAAGAAGTTGCCAAATTCCGTTGAACAAGTACCAAGAGATTTTCATACAAAGTTAACGGATGATGAATTGATAAGCATGGCCGACGGGATGATGAGAAGTACGAGAAATACAGAAACTTGTACTATTCAATCTTTAACTTCATCAAAATTTTTAGAAGACAAAATCGATCAGTAAATAGATAAATTGGATGAGAAATATGTTTCAAAATCGAGGTCTAGGATACGAGATCGGTCTAGCTCAAACTATAGATCAAAAACTCGATCTCTTTCGAGCCCACGAAAATCATTCTGTCATTACCATCTCAAATTCAATGAAAAAGCTAGAAAATGTGTTGCCCCTTGTACTTATGAAGGCAGAAGTGATTCGGAAAATGAGCAGACCAGTCGTTGATGACGACCAACGTTTTTGGCCAGGAAAATAGTCATCTTTTCATTCACGATCCTCTTACAAAAGTTGATTTTCTCATTGATAGTGGTTTTGATGTTTCAGTTGTACCAAAAAATAAGAATTCATTGCGCATACAATCATCCAAAAAGCTTTTGGATGCAACTAACGGAACCATAATTGATACTTTTGGAGAACAAATCTTAAAGATGTCTCTTGGATTGAAAAGAAATTTCAGTTGGTCTTTCATTATAGCCAACGTCGACAAAGCTACAATTGGTGACCCCGAAAAAGAACACTGTCTACAAAAAGATGGTTAAACTCCTGCAACAACCCTACAAAGATCAAGTTACAAAAATCCTACCTCATTTCGACATCGACACTAATGCAGCAGTAGACAATGGAAGTCCGAACTAATGAAATGCACCAAGAAACATTGTCAACTACCTTCAAATAAATATGAAATTCTTCATTATTTTTTATTTTTTTTTATTGTGGACGGTCAAACTTCCAAAAATAAAATCAACAGAAAGCTCCAAATCAATCACAATAAATAATTCTCGGAGAAGTAACATATTTTAAAACTTCGGAAAGTAATAGATCATTGCGAGATTTGTTCTGTCCAAACCATTACTTTTACAGTTAGATGCAGATATTTCAAAAAGTCAATACCGGATCTTGCATCACTTACTTTGTTAATGAATACGAAAAACAGTTTTTCAGCCTTGAAATATGATTCAAAATCATAATGGAAGCTCATTATGATGCACACATAGCAAGTGCATTGATATAATAATAGAATAATTTGGTATTGTTCTGATCGTAAAAGGAACTACTTATTTGTTTAACATTTATTCATGGAATTCGATAATCATTTCCTGTTATTGATGGAGATAATATTCAGCATACCACCTTGTAGACTTGGTTACAAGTGACTTCAACATGATTTATTGCTTGAAGAAGGACGGTTATAGGGAATACCGGCTTGTCACATTTGAAAAACAACTTTTGGACCTTTGCTCAGTATAAACTTTTTTGATTTTCCAAATTATCGAATATATTTTTTTATATTATTGAGTCTTTCACCATTTTCTAATGGCTATTATGAAATGACTGTAGTGTGTGTGTCACTCTAAGCTTCCATTAAAAGTTTGAGATGGAAGAGCGGAGTTACCAAAAAATCGTATGAAAGTTCTAGATATGTGTGACTGATGAATTATTTTTTTTGTGGTAATTCATGATCACTTTAATGCATTGAAAAAAAAAACATTTTTGTCTAATTTCCACTGTTTAATTTTATTTATACGACCGGTTTCGGGTTTAACCCCATTATCAAGTATAAAACTAAAATGTGGAATTTGAAAATTCGGTTATATCGGGAGTATTTTGGTAAGATAGAAGGACAGGTAGTAAAATGAATCAGGGTGCCAACTATAAAATTCAAGAGTGGAGACCTACATAAATCGAGTTGCTCGTTTAGGGGTAGGTAATATCAAACTAGTGTCATTCGTCGTAAAAAACATGTTTCGTAACATTCCAACAGACAAATGCCTTCCCCTCGTGATATAAATATTAGATAAGTGTGATAAAAATCCATATTGAGGAATCACACGTTACAAGGTAAGACCTCATTAGTCCTTAGCTCGCACAAGTTTCTCAACTTCTGAGAGTTGTCGTTTGCAGATATATACCTATGGAAATTTACAATCTCCTGGATACATGTCTGTAACAACATTTCTTCAAATATAATAATAATTTTCATCTACAAAACTCAGGTTTCCCTATGTGCTCACCATAAGTACCATTTTGGCAGACATTTTCATGGACACACTAGAAAATACCCGCATTACCGAGCGATTCATTAGCCAAAAATAACGTAAAAAAAAGTTTATAAAGTCAATCGTCCCTATTCGCAAACAATACTCATTTGAAAAGTCTGTTCTGCCATGTTGAAAAAGTGACTTCTTGTTCCATTGTGAAGTAGATTTTTGAGTGGAAATGATTTAAATACAATAGAAAATCGTTTAGTGAAAGATATAGTGAAAATATAAAAGAATAATGGTGTTATTGAATATCAAGAGAGTGAAAATTCTGGCTTCTGGGTTATTAAAAAGTCTGAGAGTCTGAATTTTTGACTTTCAGAAAGTGCTTTGCCTTCTTCCGGAAATAATTCGATTCATTTTCAACTATACACATTGTTTACGCATTATGGTGAATTCAAAGAAATTATTAGTAACACTCCTTATACACCATCGTCACGTGCAATATAAACAAATGCAAATTTTTCATTATCCAATGCATCAGTTATTAAAAATGACCACGACTATGCAAATTCGTAAGGAAAAAACTGATTCACTTCTGTTATTTCACCTCTAGTCATTTATTGTAGATCCTAATGGGATTCTATTATGAGTGCACAACCATAATCATACGATAATGACAAGGAAGGGTCAGGTACAAGTGCAATTCACGATATTAGATGTATCATTTATATCACCTACTTACTTACGTGCCTTCAAGGTCACAAATGAATCACTTTTGATCACCGTAATATATTTTGTACCATGTTCAAAAATCAATATCAACACTAGTACCATTCACAAGTTTCACACATCACATTTATCTTTTCACGATATACAAGACACACTTCATTTTTCAAAAATAGATGAAAGTGATTTTCACGCAGCTGTCGTATTTTCTGAATTGTCAATTTGTTCCATGTCTCCAGAAAACGCTGAAGTCTTCTGGACTTCTTTTCTAGGTGCCCATTTCAACCGTAATGTTTCCAGTGCTAATCCTTACAAGTTCTTTGTTGAATGTTTCTCTAGACATAAATGGTTTGTTTTCGATGTCTCACATACACATTCACATAAGGTCTCTATTATACAAACCTATGGACAGTATCCCATGAGTAGCGCCAATATCTGCTCTGTTGAAGCCGTTCCTTTCTTCGACGGTCCCTTAATGATGTTTTCCACGTGTATTCCCTAATACATCGTATCAAGACATAGCAATGATACTCCCACAGCTATTTTGAGACACATATAAAAATTCTTCCTTGCCATTTTTAGGATGTTCCCCGACCAGTCCCGGATGTCACTTTTCAGTTCATCAATGCCACGAGAATAGCTTGATTGTATGAGAATATTGATTTACATTGTACTAGATTCTACCAGAGAAAAATATATGACATTTGGCTCATTGATAGTAAGTACTGGACGACATAAGCACAATTTATAGAAAATTACTCTTATTTTCCTTTTGAGATTTTTAATATGAATATTCCATTTCAAGAAGGAATCTAAAAATATCCGTAGATGATTTACAGATGTTGTGAGTTCTACATCGTGGTCATCCAAACGTAATGTTCTGTATCTGGGTAAATATGATTCGTAAAATGGATGTTATTATATATGTTTTATCAACATTTACCGTCCATAAATTACTTTTAAGTCTTGCTCTGCTGTTTTCTAAACTTCATCCCATGAATCTGCTGTATATAAAATCACTGTGTCATCAGCAAATGGAACAATGTGTCCGGAAGGCTTCCGCTTCAGTAAGAAATTCAAATAAGTTACGAAAAGAACCGGTCCTAGCACCATACCCTGAGGAACGCCATATAAAACTGATTCCTCCGAACCCATGACTCTATTTACTACGACACGTTGTTTTCTACCTATTAGGAAGTTTCTAAACAAATTCAACACCACTAGTCTCACACCAAGTTGTTCCAATTTCTCTAGCAAAACTTCGGGACTAACCGTGTCGAAAGCTTTTGTCAGATCTATGCAAACACTCAAACAACTTCTCTTGTCATCAACACCGTTATATATCATACAAGTAAGCTTTGCAATGGCGTCTTAGGTGCTTCTGCTTTCACGAAAACCTTATTGTGTTTCCGAAATAATGATATTTTGGTCCAAATACTTCCCTTATCTATTTCTTATGATTTTTTCGAAAAATTTGGCAAAGGATGAAGTTGAGGACATTGGTCGATAGTTTGATACGCTTGTTCTTCCTCCTCCTCTGTACAAGGGTTCAATAGTGGCAGTTTAAAAATGATCTGGTACTTTAGCTGTTTCCATACTTAAATCAACAATATAGGAAAGTGGTTCAGATATATAATCAGATAAAAGTTTGATAATTTAATTTTTTATATTGTCCGGTCCAGTTGCTTTCTCATTTTTTAGGTTCAAACACATAGCTCTCAGTTCCTCTTCATCGGTTGGTTTCAAGAAGATTTATTCAAGTAGTCAAAATTTTTATCTTTAATTGGATTTGTAATTATTTCTTTTTATTGTTGTCCTACATGTGAAAAATAATTATTTATTGTAATACAAAACCAGAGTCAATTACCGGCATCGTAGTTATAGTTGTTGTTCCCGTTGTCCGAAACAACGGGAACAACAACTCGGGCACCGAGACCGTTACCACATCGCCTTTTACAATGTAAACCGCAGTAGTAGACGAAATGTCATGCATAATAACCTGCAGACCACGGCCAAAAAACTCAGAAAATATATTTCACGTATACATTATGCGAGTTCTTTTTATTCGAAATTTCATATATAAATAGAAGTGGTAGAACCTTTTTATTTTCATTTGCTAAAAGAAACTCTGGAAACCACTTATATTGACATAGATTCGTTGAAGAACCCCAATCATTGTTCATCTTGATTACCCCGTATAAAGCATGAAAACTGAGCATCATCATGAAAAAAGGCGTGCATTATAGATGCATTCCTTATTACACCTATAAATTATATCAATCATCATAGATTTGCTTATGGTCTAGCAAGGCTCATGGACGTCGCTATCATTATTATCATTAAGGCTAGCAAGGTTAAAAAATATCACGTCACAGATTTTAATAATTTCCATCACGACTTTTTTCTTATGAATGAGCTAATTATCACGAATGTAATGAAGTACAATGTTATGCGATTTTTCATAGCCTAGATATTCGTGATGAATTGTTTTATAATGACATGCAAGACATCCATTAGTGGTGAAGTTGCTACTGGTTGTAGCAGAAAGACATTTTTTCCGGATTTTTTCACTGATGAACAATCTTTGGTTATATAAGTTAATAATTTGTCGGAAACCAAAATCGACCTTGGTTGAAATTATTCATACTTTTTAATCACACTTTGAATAAAACTAACATCCTGATAATAATTAGTCTAAGTGAGATGGACATGACGGTTGTCGCGATGGAAATTATTCAGATTCAAGGAGTTTGATGAATATAGTTCCAAAGTGAAAATGTTTTTGAATTTCCAGAGTTTATGTTCCTTACAAAATGGTTCTGTAATATGTTACAATGAATCTTGGCCGAAGAGGTTAGGTCAGGTTAGATCCGAAGTAAGTGGGTCTATCCGACCCTTCACCGCAACCCGCAAGGGTTTACTGTGGCTCACACCTATTCACACTTGGCCAAATAGACCCAGCTTCTTAACGAAGCCGATTAGTTTGTATGGTGAGTGGTTTTTCAGGTCAGATGGTAAGAGTACGGCTCTGCCGAACTCTAAAGACCTGATTCGGTCCCCAGCGCGGCCAGCACAAAGTATATGCTCTGATAATGAGGTAGTCGCATAGTCAAATTGCAAGATTTCCACCTTGATACCCATGATAACCTTCCCATATAAAGGTTTTTGCACGTCAGCTACACCTGACGATGCCTTAGATCCAGCCGTGCAGGGCTTTTCTGCCTCTGGTTTTGGTGATTCATCACTTGAGCGCAAACGTTTGCTAACTTGCTCCTGGGGGGTTTGTTCCCCCACCTGAGACAGATTCTGCGTACGCCGCTCAAGAATTTGGTGCAAGGCGGTTTTATAAGGTACCCTTCTAGTTGGCCGAAGAGACAACTATTCACTATTTTGGTGAGAATTTTCATTCAAACTTTCTTCTTTTGTGGAATAGTGAAATGAGAATCTAATAATTCATGGGTATTCAAGAATGTGTCTCAATATCTAATAATGCTCGACCACTCTAGTAGCAGGGGAGCCCACGATGAAAATGGGGATTTACTCGAGCGTCATTGAGATATATTAGGTTGCAAAGCTTAGATGATAAGAAAAAAATGTTATACAATATATACCTTTTCATCGGTGGGTGAAGCGGCCATAGATTTTTAAATATGTAAAAAAATACTGTTGCATGGACATACTCGAGCGCGTCAGATATTGATAGCATCAGTGTCCTACGTATTTTTAATAATGTTGGTATAATAATCTGATCGTTTGCATGATGTGGGTGGTTGTACGTAAGGGTTAAAAGTGAAAATAAAAAAAATTCAATCGAGCGCGTCAGATTTTCTAAGGGGGTGTTTTGATAACCAGTTCGTGGAAATCTTATTGTTAAATCATCTGAAAATGTAACTTTCAACGGGTGATCAACTGTATTGCCAAACATGCGTCAAACTTACTGACTATTATAAGAAAACAAGTATAGCTGGGGCACTAGTCAATCTAATAATAACACTGATGATCTTCAAACATGACTCAACCTGTAATGTAAGCACCAAACTCTTAAAGTGCGTATTCACCAAAAAAGCGAGCACGAGCGAACATGAGCGAACACGAACAAACATACACGTATGCTCGCTCGTGCTCGCTTTTTTGGTGAATACGCACCTTTAGATATTAATGTTGTGAAGTCCATTCTGGGAAGATATAGTGGGGAAAGCGTGAATTCAGTTTCATTTTAGTTGTTGAATGGGACTTCAACTGGGTTGCTAATGATCAAAGTAGAATATTAAGTTGCGTATTCACCAAAAAATCGAGCACGAGCGAACATTCGTGTA